TATGTTAAAGGAATGCTCCACTCATTAGATAATTAATCAAAACTTCAGTATTTAGTGAAACATTATGTTTAAACCATACCCTGAAGAAATCAGCGATATTGCCCGGTAAATAATGATTTTATAGCTCTTTTTTATCAAAACCTGTATATTCCGTCAGGCCGCTGCCATTTTGCCCATTTTCAGTAGTCACGTGATGGTCGTGACGTCATCCATGCGTTCACTTTGTAAACACACGAAAACATGGCGAAGTTTTGAGCAATATGAAGAGATTGGATGGGGGAATTCAGCCATACAGGTTCGAGCCTACTTAGTACTACTTAGTAGATACAATGATTTTGATTACTAGATATGTATGCATGTAGTACCACCCTTGCTAGCGATTCCCTCTCTAGTTTAGCATACTCAGCCTCGTTGTCCCTGGCCCTAGAACCACGATTTTATGGGGCCGGAAAAACTGGGGGGAAATACCCACTAGCCGGTACTACGCTATATGGAAAGGCCACCAAAAACTGGCCTGGACGATAAAGGACGTTTAAACGGGGCTACCCGCTGCAATGGAAATGCGCCATAACATACCTTATTCTTACTCCGAGCACTACTTCTGGTCCTCCGTCGCTTCACACTTGCAGAGGGCGATTTCTCAACTGGCCGAACTGGTGTCCTGGTCGGTGATGACACCAGAAAGACCGATGGTACTGCATCTCCATTAAGTAATGGTTGTTCAATAAATCCCATGTTATGTTTTATCATACTCATAGTAGTCGTCCGGAAACTTGAAATGTTCGCTGCATAGATGCGCCTGTGGATCTTTCGGTTCGGGCCGGCCACATTTCGCTAGCCACTGCCTCCGAACGTACTTCCTACGCTTACCTTTTGGCAACAGATGGAACCGAGCATTCTGTGGATTGTTCCTATCAGAATTGTGTCAATGTTTCGCGATACAATGAGGCATATTTGAAGAGAGTAACTACAGTAAATAACATGAACATCAACGTGTCCTCGAAACCAAACGCATGGTTTACGTCACGTCCGGTAAAATGGCGCCGCCCACAGTGTTGATGTTATTTCGGTAATTAATCCGTTTAAAATCACTGATAATGTCATCGGATTAAAAAAAAAAAAAGAGAGACTGGCAGAGACTGGTCTGTTTTATCGGATGATAATTATTTAAAAATGAGTGTCATGAGCATACCATTCCTTTAACATTCCCAATGTTACTTTTTTTAACAGGGCATTAAGTGATAAGATAATACAAAATAGGACCAATGTTGTCAATGGCTGCCTACAGTATACTCCACTCTCCCCCATCTCATAGAAGTTTCCAAAGATTTTCATAATCATGCTTTTTGGTCTCAATTTTTCTGGCTCTTGCTTTCGGATTGTTAGCTAAGCAATGGCTTTGAAGCCAAGTATTGACATATACATCTGGTCTGAATTTGTTCAGTGGAGGGCCAACACACTTGATGCAAGGCTGACATGCTTTTCACCTCTAGGGAGATTCTAGTTGTGGTTAAAATGTTCATCTGACTAAACCCACGTTCACACTCAGCTGTGGAGATGACCAGTGTTCACTGCTTGAGGAGGGGTTTCAGCTCTTCTGGTGCTGGTGGTATCATTTCATCAACAGTTTTGAGTCTGACCATGTCAATATATTCCCTCATCCCTCTCTGAATTTGTCTGCCATTATCAAGCTTGAAAAAGGTGCAGAGTTGCTGTATTTCCTTTTCAGCATAACGAACTCCACACGCATCTGGCCAGCTAGACGGCTGCAGCACTTTGACGTTGTTAAGAAAGCTCTGGTATTCTTCCTTGCTTCTCTGTTTACCAGGCAGGCAACCCATTCTCGTCTCAATACTAGCAGCCAAGGCATGAAAACAACGTTGGTGGTTTATTTCTCTGCTGTACCTTGAATTATTTGTCAGTGGCACTCCTCAAATCCCCTGCTGTCTGAGTCTCCTCTGCCCTTGGTCCAGGTTGCTGTGCCATTGACTTTAACACGCGGATCTGCCGACTGAGACTTGCTTCGGCCTTGGGGAGCGTCATGTTTCTGTCTTGAAGGGAGAGCGAGAATTCAGACAGCTCTTCTAAAGCATCATACATGACTCCAAGATTATGGACAAAGGTTGCATTAGAGAGGCGATTTGCTAAACCACTGAACATGCATCTCTCTGTTGATCTTCTTTTAGGATCAACTGAGGCATCAGAAAAGTGCTTGTGGAGCGCTGGGTACTGTTGCCATACAGCTTTAATGGTCCTATAACTGGATGCCACCCATCTAGTGCTGAGAATTCTCCCTATGTTCAGACACTGTAATGCAAGGTCCTCACAACATTCAGTGAGCTCGTGGTGGTTTTTGGCGGATGCATGATAGAGACTGTATATTTTGTCAAAGAAAAACTGGAAATCATTCATCCCTGCAATTTCCTCAACAGCATCTCCAACACTCAACTCAAGACGATGGTTCATGCAGTGCCACACCATCACGTTGGGAAACTTTTCAACAAGTTTGGTTGCAACACCTGATTTACTTCCAAGCATGACGGACGCTCCGTCTGAAGCAAAGCAAACAAAGCGCTCCTTCATAATAGCTTCAGATAAGCGTGTGACAGGTTATTCATCAGAGCTTGATAAAGTCCATCTGCATTGGTAGCAGAAAGCTCAACTAGATCCAAGAAGAATGTTAGTGGCTCTTCACTCATCCCTAGGCTTGCTCTAATATAAATGATCAAAACTGATTTTTTACTGTCAGTTGTAGATTCATCTATCAGAACAGAACATTTTGTTCCACTTTGAAGGACTACTCTCTTTCTCATTTCACTTCCTATGTGTCGGCTGATTGTTGCACAGGAATAGTCTGAATGTAAAGTTCTTCCCATGTCAAGTCCATTGACTTGCAGATCAATATCAGTTGGTAGATAGATTGTGAAAGGCCTTGCGGATTTCACAATCTTGTAAACTGTGCGAAATACTCGATCAGTAGTTAAGAAGTGATCCCTCTGCATATCTGAAGTCAACGTTTCCATTATTTTTTCTTTTGCCGTTTCCATGGTTTTCTCAGCTGCTTGATGATAGTCTGACATTCTATGCTTGTGTATCTTCTTCCGAAGAGACTGCAGCTGTGCTGCTCTCGTTGCACCATAGGCTGTTACTTTAACTTTAGACCACTCATCAGCATATGCACCTGGCTCCCACCAGCATTTGGCCCAACTGCTTTTATCTTCTGGCAAGTTAGACAACCAAGTTTTTTGTTTTGGCATATTAGCCATGGGTATTGCTTAGTTTTCTCTCTTAACATGTTAGATGTCCAGCATTCAGGGATATCTTGATCATTATTGCTCTCTCCCTGGTAACTTGGGCCGTCAGAATCTGGGATGCGTGTTTCTTCTGCACTATCTTCTTCAGCACTATCTTGCCCTGCTGCTGCTTCCTCCTCTCTTTTTCTTTCCACTACAAAAACAAAAAACGATAATAAAACTAATTTGCCTCTTGTCCACTGACATAATGAGCTGTATTAGGCCAATTGAAAAATAACAGTGTCTTAACCCAACATGTAGAATTAAGAATGATCAAACCTGTTCCTCCTCTAGCTCTTCGCTCATGCTGTGTCATGTCCTGCTTCCTGGCCATGGTTGTGCTCTATGTGAGGAAAACAAGGTCATTATGGTTTTGATACAATGACTGAGCAGACTTCTTATGCAAACAGGTGACATTACTCTTCTAGTTGATTTTTAAGAAAACTACATATTTTCATTAAAATGCCCAACATTCAAGTTTGGATATAATAGGCTAATAACAGTTTTGGGGCTGAAAAAGGAGTTTCTCACCTTCCTTTTAATATCACTATTTAAATATTCATATAACAAAATATTCTGTGAGTCTCCAGAGATTAATAGAAATGCCCAAAAATGCACTGGGAAAGAGTTAATTATCTTATAATGAATAGTTATCAAACCTTCAATTCTGTTAGCTTCTGAATTCTCACTCCCAACTCGGCCTATGTTGACGTTATGTCAGTGTCCCTTGTCGTGTTCCTCTTTTTAACATGATTAGCTGACGTTAATGCTAGCCTAGTTAGCTAATGAAGTTCAAGTCCTCATCTTTTAGTTAGCTAGCTAGCATTAGTTAGCTAGCTAGCTAACACGAGAGAGAAAACGTAGCTAAACTAAGTTGTTATTGCTGCTTATGTCCATAGATTCCGCCTTTGGTGACTAAAGTAATGAGTAATGACTAAGATTACTGACTCTCGACTTACCTGAAATGTTATTTTTAGTCTTTTTAAATATGAAGTCCCTCAGATCGCGTTGTCCTTCTGGTCGCTTGGCCATTGTGATGACCGTTACCTGCGCTAGTGCTGCTATGCAGCTTCTGGCATCAATCAAACAGGCGCATCACGGCGCTCTGGCGCCCTCTAGGGCACTCGCATAGCATAGCGTCAGTGACTTCGTAAAAATGTCATTGCATGTGTGCGTGCTCCCTCGCCCACAGTATTTGACTCAATATGCGCAAAATTAATGTTGAAATAGCAGTAATACCAGTGCCAAGTTCATTGATAAAATGACATAAGGGATGGAAAGGGGGGATGGCAGTTTTAGAAGGGGGATGATTTTTGACCGTTTTTATTTCAGGGGGGATGCTATCCCCCCTCATCCCCCCTCAACTCGAGTACTGAGTATAATATACTGGATCTTTTTTTATCAGGCTATATTCTGCATGCACAGTACAGACAGAGAGCAGAGGAGAAGAGCCCCTCTTTACTCAACCAATCACCATTGATCTCAAATATGGCAGTGGGGGTCTATTTATTAACACCATGCAATTGTAATTGAGACCCCCTGACTGTCCTTCTTTCATACGTAGTACTATTAAAAAACCATTGGGTGTCATGGTTGTACAATGAAGGTGATAAATGATGAGGATAAAAGTGTAATCAAAAGACAATGTGGCTCAATGCCAAGAGGAGGGAGGGCTGCTGGAGCAGGGAGGTATAAAAGAGACAGTGAGGGAGTGAGTCCAACCAGAGTGAGGAACACAGGAGGAGGACAGAGAAATATAAGGAAAGAGTAAAGAAGGACATTTCTATACAGAAAGTGCACTCAACAAGAAGGTAAGGAAGAAACAGTTTATTAAATAAACATGTGTTTATATCAATCTGCAAACCATGTACTTTAAAATAATTTAGAGGATTATCACAATCTGAATTCAATTTATATATGTTTAAAAATGTTAACAGAAAATAAATAGATGTTTTACATTAAAAGTAAATTGCAAGCAGACCTAACATTTGAATTTCAAAACCTGTATTTTGTAATATTTGTATTGTAAATTATGTACAATACATTTAAATCAGATGTCTTTTGGTAATCGGCGTGTCAGCCAATAACTTTTATTGCGATAACTGCACTCAAACTATTGCATGTAACCCATGCTGCCTAAAAAAGCAAAGGGGACTGATAATTCTAGCATGTACAATTGTTCCAAGTAATTTTTATTTTAAAGCTGAAAGTGTACAAATGCAAACCGTGTGTGTGTGGGTGTTTGGATTGTTTCGCCAGTGTTTCGTCTGTGGATGCAGAAATGTTTGAGTGCTCCAGTGACAAATGGTGATGGCTAACACAGATGTGAAATCTGAGTGGGGGTTTCCATAGGAACATGTTTTTCCTCTCAGATAGACGACTATGATTGAAATGATTCTTAGAGAAACATTTTTTGTTTCATAGGTGAACTATTGAAGTGTTACTATGCAAAGTAAAACACTTGTGTTTTTATAACGAATAATTAATTTACTCGTATCTACAGGTATGTAAGGCATGTGTTGAGTTAATTAAAGTAGAGTTAAATGCAACATTGATTATTAGTTTTTGTTATGTTTTACCATCTTTTTATCTTCATTGTGCCATCAGCGAGGCTCTGTTGCTGGACTCTATTTTCTGTGGAGCTCCTGGTGTGAATTAGCATTAGGAGAGGTGAAAGTTCAAGGGTCGGACGTAGAGGCAGTGTGTGAAAATGTCGATGAGGCCTCTTCTTCTTCTCATCCTGGGAATCACCACAGCCACTGGTGTCACAGCTCAAGGTGGGTCAATCAACAATACCCAGTTGTTTTTGGCACATAGCTACCAGAAAACACAGAAGCCTCCCTACAAACATAGATTACAGAAATGTAAATGTAAAAATATGTAGGAGTGTGAACAATGAGAGGGCCTGGCTGATAAAAACAATAATGTACAGTCAAAGTCAATGTTAATGTGTGTTTAGTGAACGTAAAATCCAAATCCATGTTTCCCCATACTTTATTTTTGTTAGTCTGACCAGGTTTTCTCAATCAGTATCAAGGCTGGTCAGCCTTTATGTTCAAAACAGCTGCATTTGAAGATCAGTTTGCTTTGATATTACAAATACATGGCACTGCACCAACTGCAACAAACTCGAAAAATGTCAGGTTCGTAAAACATCTCTCTGGAACTCAAACAATTTCTACAACTTAAGGTTAGAACTTGGAGGTTAAAACTTTGATTGTCAGATAATAATGTAATGCGTGGTACAAAAAAACCTTTGAGATACATCCAAGACATTTGTGACACGTTTTTGTCTTGCAGGATCATGGAGAAGAGACAACAAAGAGTCAATCCCTTCAGAGCACCATGGTTACTCTTATTTGAAATTAAAACAAATATGTAATTTTTTCTGTTTATTGAGAGACATTCCTAACAGGTTTCTGTACTCTCTCCAGACAACCATGAGTGGACGACATGGTTCAATGTTGATCACCCCGGAGGCCGTGGAGACTATGAGCAGCTGGAGGCCATTCGTTTCTACTACCGTTCCCGAGTGTGCCAGACCCCCCTTGCAATCGAAGCCAGAACCACTGAATGGGTCCCAGCCCGTGAAACTGGGGAGACGGTGCATGCAGACCCCACTGTGGGCTTCTGGTGCCTCAATGAGGAGCAGGGTCCTGAACGCAACTGCTCCAACTATGCAGTCCGTTTCCTCTGTCCCAAAGGTCAAACATCTTTTTATTCCACAACTTAAGTATTCCTTTAGTCACCAAAAGTTAGTGTCCGTTTTAAAGCAGGACTATACAGTCTACATATTTTTGCCTGAAAAGTCTGATTTATAGATTTGCTGGTGATACACGTTTGACTGTTTGTTGTGCTCTCTTTTCCAACAGATGACAGTGTGAACATTCAGGGTACCTGGGGACGGTGGTCAGACTGGAGTGTATGCCCGGCCCTCTGTGGTCAGGTGGGACTCCAACAAAGATCCAGAAACTGTGAATCTAGCTCTGTACCTTGCAGTGGACCTAAATTGGAAGCGAAACCATGCGATGGACCTGAGTGCCCTGAAACAGGTGCATCAGCCCTGGTTTAGTCAGACAAACCCATCTCTTTCAATTGTCATTTAATTTATCTTTAAATCTAAGAGACACGGCATTCACAGAATGGCTAACCTTGTGTTACTCTTCTCTTTAGATTGCACCCTGCAATGTGGGATGGGGAAGGTGAATGCTGAGTGTGACGCATGCATGTGTGAAGAGCACATCCTGCTGGGGTCTGTTCGAGGTGCTGGAGGTCTCACAGCTGAAGGGGCTACCCTCCTTCGCAATGAGAAACTCCTTACCCTTAGCGACCACAACGGGCATTTTCGCATCCCTGGTATCTGCCCTGATGGCAACACCACCATAACTGTCACTCTGCAGGGTCACGCCCCCTTCAGCGTTGTTGTGCCTTACAGTGCTGAACGCACCTCTGTCCTAACTATCCAGCTAAAAAGAACAGGTACACAATAAACACTATTCACACTAAAACATTTGATTGCTGTTCACCAAAATGTTAATTTTGAACTGCCTGCTACTGATGAGTTGTTAAGCATGCACAGGAGATAATAGTTAATGTTATTTGATCATCAATTTTTCAGAGAAGCTTCATGTTTTGAGCAACCCTGAGAGCAAGGCCAGGAGGCAGGGACAAACGGCCGCCTTCTGCTGCAAAGTGGCGGGAACACCACAACCCGACAAGTACCAATGGTAGGACTTGTTATAGTGAAATTATAGTACACATGTTATTGAGTCACATAGATGCATCTACTGTCTGAATGATATGGTATACTGAACACTTGAAGCTTCTCTTTGTTTTTGTGTGAACCAACAGGTTTCATAATGAGAGTCTCTTGGAGAAACACTCTGAGAGCACCTTGGTCCTAAGAAACCTGCGTCTTGAGCAGACTGGGGAGTACTACTGCAGAGCCAGTGGTTCCTCTGGGGCTATTAAGACCAAACCAGCTACACTGAAAGTCTTAGGTGTGTTCTTAATAAATTGATGAACACAAATTAAATATGCAAGAATGTAAATACATATACTGTGAGGATTGAGTACAGTAATATCAATTATTGTTCGAACTGTATTTTAACTCAGAGATTGCAGTATGATCAAACTAAATCATAATTTTGATTTGTACACAGGTTGGGATGAGCACTCATGTAATCCTCTGCCCGAATCCCACCTCATCCGCCTTCCACATGACTGCTACCAAAACAGCACAGACTCTCTCTACTACAATGTGGGCAAGTGCCCCTCAAGTACATGTTCTGGACAGCTTGACAATGGCATCAGGTGCAAAGACAAAGTCACTTACTGCTGTGGTGTCAAAAAGATGGCGGCGAGGCAGCTAACATGCCAGGGCTACCTACTGCCTACCAAGGTCGTGACTGAATGTGGCTGCCAGAAATGTGTGGACACCAAGGCCATTGTGCATGGTAGGGCCATTGCTGCAGACAATGGTGAGCCAATGAGGTTTGGCCATGTCTTTGTGAATGGAGTTCGAATCAGCCGCACAGGATACAAAGGTACCTTCTCCATCCAGGTTCCTCCAGACACAGAGAGGCTAGTCCTGACTTTTGTGGACAACATGCAGAAATTCATCAACACGACAAAGGTACTTCCATTTAACACTAAAGGAGGAGCTGTTTATCATGAGATCAAACTTCTCAGAAAGAAAGCCCCTGTTACTATCAGCTCTACAGAAATCAACACTCTGGAGCTTGGGGAGGCGGAGGGCCGGGATTCAATGGTACAAATCCAGATTCCTCCCTATTCCTTTTATACAGAAAGGGGAGAAGTCTTTACTGGTAAAGTAAATGCCAGCGTAACGTTCCTAGACCCTAGAGACGTCTCCACAGCTGCTGCAGCTCAAAGTGATCTCAACTTTGTAGGAGATGAAGGAGATACCTTGCCACTGAGAACCTACGGGATGTTCTCTGTTGACTTTAGGGGGGAGGAAAACAATGAGCCCCTGAATGCAGGTGAAGTGAAGGTGTTCCTGGATTCAGCCCAGGTGAAGATGTCCGAGCACCTCAACACCATGAAGCTGTGGTCACTGAACCCTGAAACTGGCCTGTGGGAGGAGGAAGGAAGTCTGCAGGTGGAGAAGAAAAGAAGAGGCAAAAGGGAGGAGAGAACATTTCTGATTGGCAACATGGAGATCAGAGAGAGACGTCTTTTTAACCTGGATGTCCCGGAGAACCGCAGGTGTTATGTGAAAGTGAGGGCCTTCCGCAGTGAACGCTTCATGCCAAGTGAGCAGGTGGAGGGAGTTGTGGTGAGTCTTATCAACATGGAGCCAACAGCTGGCTTCTCCACTAACCCACGTGCCTGGGGCCGTTTTGATAGTGTAATCACTGGCTCCAATGGGGCATGTCTTCCTGCCTTCTGCGATGAACAAAAAGCTGATGCTTACTCTGCCTATGTCATGGCGAACCTTGGAGGAGAGGAGTTGGAGGCTGTGTCTTCGTCTCCAAAACTCAATCCCAACCTCATTGGAGTTCCCAAGCCTTATCTGGATAAGATGAACTACAGAAGGACTGACCACGAAGACCCCAGAGTGAAAAAGACTGCATTCAGCATTAATGTGGCAAAACCAGGTTCCAACGCTCCAGAGGAAAGCAACGGACCAGTGTACGCATTTGAGAAGTTGAAAGAATGTGAGGAGGCTCCATTCAGTGCGGCACACTTCCGTTTCACAAGAGTAGAAGGAGACCGTTATGATTACAACACAGTGCCCTTCAATGAAGATGACCCAATGAGCTGGACCGAGGACTACCTGAGCTGGTGGCCCAAGCCAATGGAATACAGAGCCTGCTACATCAAAGTCAAAATCAATAGCCCACATGAGATCAATGTGCGGTCCCGCAACACGGGTGGCACCCACCCAAAGACGGTAGGCCAGCTGTATGGACTCCGAGACACTCGCAGCATCCGTGACATGGATCAGGCAAAAATGTCAGCAGTGTGCCTGGAGTTCAAGTGCAGTGGGATGCTGTATGATCAAGAGCGTGTAGATCGTACCCTGATTAAGGTTATTCCACAAGGAAGCTGTAAGAGAGATAACGTCAACACTATTCTTCAGGAGTATCTGGTCAATCACCTGCCCCTTGCTGTCAATAATGACACCAATGAGTTCACCATGCTAGGACCTCTAGACCCCCTTGGACACAACTATGGAATTTACACGGTGACAGACCAGGACCCCCGCACAGCCAAAGAAATTGCACTTGGACGCTGTTTTGATGGCACCTCTGATGGTATGTCTCGTGTCATGAAGAGCAATGAAGGTGTTGCGATGACGTTCATCTGTGGAGATCATGAAGTGTCAAGCCCTAGTGTCTTCCAGGCTCTGCAGAATACTCAAGGTCAGACAATAACAAGCGTTGTGAGAGGAGAGGGCCGACAGAACCGACGCCGGCAGAGGGCCAATGCACCTCGCAGCAGCAGACGTAGCACCAGAAATCCTACAGGACGGCGTGCCAAGACCACGAGCTAAACAACACTAAAAAAAGGCTGCTACTAAGATAGGTAGATAGGGTTAACCTTTCTTTTTGATTAATGATATATTGAATATCCTTTCCAATTAATTGAATATGTAACTAAAGAAAGTCTGTCTGGCATCATCTTCATGAGGAATAATTGCATTGTTTTATCTTAAATGTTCACCTGTACTGTGGTAAATATTTACTTGAAACTGTAAATAGAGTATTTATTACACATGCCTTAAACATAGTAATCAGAGCTGTGTTATTGCATTCATTTATTTCCTTGATTTTATAAACAAGAACAAGAACACAACCTATTGTTTTGACCAGTGATTTATTAAATTAGATGCTTATAAAACACTGCAGATGCTGTTTCTTCCACATTGTGTATATCCAATTGTCCATGTAACATTGAAATTGCTTGAAAAAGAAACATATGCCCCTTCAACAAACTGTAGCCCGTATGAAGACATAAGGGGTGAAGCCCATAAGCCCCCGCTCCTCATCACACTTGATACAAGCCTGCAGAAGCAATGATTAGGAGACCAGTCGTAGCAAGTTAATCCACTAGCCTGATCCATACTTTTCCTGCATTAGAATTCAAATTAGTAAATTACATTGGTCATGCACAAAAAATACCTAAGTACTCTTTGCTTCACACTTTTTTTCAGAGAATGGCTGTGAGGTTTTAAAGTCACATTTATTATACTTGTCTATCCCTTTTACCTTACATTGAAAGTCGTGTGCTCTCTGTAAAATTACAACAACTACTTACATGTTGTCAGTCTCAAAATCATCCACAACTCAACCTTCCAGAGATAAAGATGAATAATTGTTCTGAATTTGGCAAGTTATAGATACTATATACTTTCCTGTAAGAATACCATCCACAGGTAAGCGAGACCTAGAATATATACATTCTGCTTGAAGAATTAGCATAGAACCTTGTGTTTCTATGTCACGTTACTTATAACTGCAATACTGTATCTGATATTTTGACAAGAGCAACATTTAATAAGAAAAATTAGCCCTGCAAAAGTCAGACCCCGCAGCAGTTACAATGTATTCTCTATTGACGCTGGGTCACCCAACAGATTATGCGTGATGTGAGTCGAGGCTGAATGAGACAGAAAAGGCAATTCCATATGTATTAAAGAGTTGGTGAGATTGGATCCTCCCTGGTAAAGTCCCTCTGGTCATAGAAGCAAAATGAAGGGGGCAACACATAGTTCAGATTTTCCAGGATGGCACTGGACAGCACAAGAAGGTACAGCTGCATTTCTGAGGGTTGGGAGGGGGAAAGGGCCGAGGTGGTGGAGCCAGTGTCACATGAAATCCTCATAGTCTTGGGCGTAGCCACCATCAAACTCTCCATACTCCATGTCATCTCTCAGCTGTGCTTTCAATCCGCCTCCAGCTACAACCCCTTTCTTCTTCTTCTTTCCTTTGTTTTGCTGTAAAGGCAAATAGGTCACTTTAAACAATGTCATTTTAATACGACTAGGCATTTAGGACATTCTTATAATCTTGAATTCTCTAAATCAACCTTGCAAACACAATTGTGCATGTTACATATCACCATTAAGTTAACACAAACTGTAGAAACCACAAAAATGTTTAACGACCAACCAGAAGCGGCATAACGCAGTTGATTTCTATATTGACTTTGAATGTGAAAAGTGAACAGCACTCCCTACTGAATATAAACTACACATCAAAAATCACAAGCATGAAGACAATCACCTTTTCTTGTTTCTGTTTTTCACTAAGTAGGGCTGTCAGGGAATTACTGACTTTCTTCAAGTCTTCTATTTCCACTGTTAGAGGGAGAAAGAAAAAAAGTTAAGCCTGCAATGATTCTAATGTAAGTTACAGATACAGTAATAAAGAGATATAATCAAATGTGTTCAGAAAAACATTTGTACAAGATGGTGTTCTTACATGAAATACAGAGTTCCCGAAACAAAGAATCCAAGAAATTTGAATAATGCACAGATGTTTCAAACTGGGATATCTTTTCCTTCAGCTTGTTTTCAAACTCTGTAAAGTCTTCTTTGGAAGATGGACACATAGCGTCGAGCCCAGTGACACTACTTGCAGTGCTGCTGACACCTGAAAAAAATAAATGGGCATACAGAGTCACAGATGCAAAGCCATACTTGTGTTCATGTGTTGGACCTGTATTATTACCGTTTTAACTATATGCTCAAGGGTGTAAATGGAATTCAGCCATTATTATACTGTTCCTATTGTGATATTCAAAATGTTGCATAACACCAGAATATTAGCCAATTCTAATGTAAATGGTTAAAGCAACCAAGGAAGCAATCAAGCATATACTTGAACCATCATAGGCCAAGTTAAACATACAAATACGAACATAAACTACGTACTCTTGTATGCAGTAGTGGTGCAATTTCATGATCATAAAAAAAGGAAGTAGTGTGTACTCTGGAAAGCTTTTAAATGTTTGCAATTCAAGATAAAGAGGAGCATTTCCATTTTTGTCTGAAGGGTGATGATGTCTTACCAAAAGCATCTTTTGCTAGCTCCAAGTCTGCTTCTTCCTGTAATTTCTTCACTCTTAACTTATCTGCAAGTAATTCTTCAGGAGAGAGCTCTTCTTCCTGTAAGAACAGATACAAAGTCAAAAGGAAAACATTATTAAGAGATGACAGACGTTTGTGAATTATAAAACTGTTAAAGCCATAAGAGGTTTAAAAAAAAAACAACTCACATTTTCCTCCAACTCTCTCATCTTCTCCTCCTCTTTTTTCTTTAACCGGTTTTCTTTCTCTTTGATCTTCTCACTCAACTTTTTTTTTTCAGAAACCTTTGCCTCTGAAAATGTAAATGATGGAATAAAACCACATATGAATTTGCAGTGAAAGCAGACAACTATGCCACTTATTAGCATATCATGTAAAGAGTTTAAAATAACAAAGAGGAAATTAAATACATACCCTTTTTCATCGCTGCCCTTTTCTCCTTCTCTTCTTCGTCATCATCCCAGTTATCCTGTGAACAAAAAGGTGGGAACATTTTTCATTTAAAGGTGGGGTAGGTAATTTCGGAGAAACCAGCTCGAGTGCGCTAGAATTAAAAAATACACAACCGGAGAAAATCTGCCACTTCCTTACAGAGCCCCTCCTCCAACACACACAAACTCACACATGACCATTGAGGGCACGAGATAAGTTTGTGCACAGATGGAAGGCTGACAGGCAGGTAGGCCATCCAGTTACTTTAGCCAGGCCGGCTAAAATGATTGGTCGTGCTTTTTACAGTACTACGGCTTCCACAGATGACATTTTTTAATGTTTTTTTTGTCAAAGCACTTAAGATATTCATTGCTATCGGGATGTTAAGAGCATTCCATGGAATATAACAAAAAGTGTATCTCGAGCCGGTTTCTCAAACTTACCTACCCCACCTTTAACCATCCAAGTTACACAGGCAACAACACTAGAATAACCTGACTGTTAAAACATCTATTGGAACAGTTAAAAAGATTATATTACCCATTTTAACAATGTAAATTCACTTTTCGTATAGCACATAAACAGTACATCACTTAGACACCATCACATATATACACAAATCAGAGAATTGCAGAAAATAGCCATAAACATCCTTAATTTTACAAACAAGCCTCACTAACAAACAATACCCATGTTCCTAATAATTCAAGTACTGCATAATGAGGCGTTCAGATCGGTTTCCAGCATAAACCAATGTAACTACAGTACATATAACTATGTACAGTTCACGGGCATTTATGCAAGAAAAGCATGCAAAGCTGGGTGAGTCGAGGTTCATTCTTATCAATATAAAACTCAATTTCAGTCAGTTCAGATTGTATTTATATGATTTTATTATCAAATGGATGAATCTACTAATAACTCAAGTTTTTGTTTAAAAACATTTAAAGAATTGAGAACTAATATAAAACTGTAGTGGGGACATTGGAAATATTATTTGACGTGTTGTTTTGAATGTATTATTATAAATACTAGGATATGAAATAATTGTTAATAGTTAAAATAACAGTCCTACTTGGCACAGCCCTAAGCACATTCCAATTGTCCTAGGGACTGATGCAACGCCCAAGTTAAAACATGTAATTAAAGTCTACAAATAAGTCAGTGTTGTAATGCTCTACAATATCCACATAATCATTGTTATCACTTAAATCCACCCTTTACTTATACGTAATAACTCAATTGGTATAATGGAACGGAGGCTATTGTATTTGAGCTTACAGTAAATTCAATAACACATTAATACAATCCACTTGAAATTACAAAATAATATATTTTGTACAATAACAATTTATGTCAGTCCCTGACTTGACCAGTTTGAGCTATAGTAGAGGACATTGACTCAACAGTGTCTTTAGCTTGGGAACCATATGTGACAGAAAACTGAACAATTGAAGAGGCCTCTACCAGCACTTTCCCTAGGTCAATTATCAGAGGTTTCTCGACAACAACCATCACGACATACAGCTAATAACCAACTGAAAAGCAGCTATGCATCGAGTCTCATACCATCTGCCTGTTGTCAAGTTCTAGAAAGTTCTAGGCCTCGTCCTTGCCTTGAGTTGAGTCATCAACTAGGATGATGATAACATCTCACTGTGGCTAAAGTTGGTTAGCTCGCTAACAGCCTTATGTTGAATGAAACTCAGGCATCCGGGAGAAATTATAAGTAAGTAATCATGTAATGCAACACACTTTGGGCAACAATGACATCACTGTCTATATCATCCACAAAAGGACTCTAAAGCCCTCTATCGTCGAGGTTAGCTAAAGCTTATTTTCATAGCGAACTGATAGCTAGCTGAGTGACCCGGTAAGATGTTAGCTACGTTATCTGAATTTAGCCCGTATATCCAAGATTAACATTGCTTATTCATATCGTACAAACAAAGGCAAATACAATTAAGAGTCCATTAATCAGTTTTAATCCACACTCGTTTACTGACTGGTGAACATTCACTGTGATATCGGTGCTTTAAGGCCATTTGGAAGCCGAGTTATCAGGCTAACGGTAGCTAACAGACTGACTGATGGAGCCACATGAGTTAGCCTCCGTTAGCACAAAGCTAACTCAGGACGGAGGACTGACAGCAGCCTGACATGAAGCATGGCACCGCCGCTAAAACACAACAATCGGTCCAGCTAACGGCAGTAACAACAGTAACGGCGACACTGATTTTAACTTAAATCTCAGCTTTTTTCCTTTACCTTAACGTCGTCTTCATCGTCTTCGCCTTCCCATTTGTCAACCACTGCCGCCTTTTTATTCGGCTCCTCCGGCTCGAAGGTTTCAGCGTCTGTAAAAACCACAACATGATCTTCGTTAGTGCAATCCACATCTAACGACTGAGTTTGACAATAACGGGTAAAGCGTGCGGTTTGTAAATCAACGACTGTGACAAGCGAATGATGAACAGTTAGCTATCCTTCATAACTTAAGTTGCTCACCCCAGTCCGCCATGTTGGCTGTGTTGGTTGTGTTTGACAGGCTCGCAGTCAGTCTGTGCGGCAGCCCGTTGGTTCACAATCAGCTCCCACCTTCTGGACGTCACTGATCCTGTGACCTGGCTGCTTCCCTGGGCTTCTTCGGGCGACTGGACACTGATATGGTAGGCCGGGTAATCACATTTTAAACAATTACATATAACCCATTTAAGTATTTTCGAATCAATCCCATTCTAGGTTTTTGTTTATTCAGAGTAACTGTATTCCTCCTCCTCCAACAGATGTTACAGCAAATTATAGATAGAGAAAACATTGTTAAATAAAAAGGCATGCACATAATATTTGAAATACAATTATTAAAATGTACAGAAGTACACATTTAGGTAGATAAGTAGCAACAGTATTTATAGCATAAAATAAATGTATCTTGTAGTCGTAGATGACGTTTGGTATATAACAGCAGTAGTACAACTATATCTACATTACATACATTCATAAATGCGATTTTTTTTGGAGGAGTGGGAACCAGTTTTTTAATATTTTCATTAAAACAAATTAACTATATTAATAAGCAACATCATTTTGTATAACATTTTTAATCATTTTATATATTTACCAATGTATTAGTTTAATTTAAAGTATTAATGTTTGATCATTTGTATTCCTGCTGCTTGGTTGTTACAGAAAACAGAAAAAACACAGACACAAATGCCAAACAAGGCTGATAAAGTGTGGGTTGTTATGGTATTTTTTTAAATCAACATAATATGAATCAACAATTTCAGATTTAATTCAAATTATTAGATAATAAATACAAAATAATTAGCTAGTAAGTAGGTCAAATTTGTAATTGTAATTTTAGTAAAAAAAAGTCAGAAACTTGATCTACTATCTATCTTGACTTAATGATTTTAATACATTGTCCATAATTGTTTTATTTAACCTGCTATCTTATAATGTTAATTAAAAAAGTAAAAATAAATATACTTGTATATTATTTTACACAATTTATATATTACTTACAAAGTTTAACTACAGATGATAGTGATCATTTATTTATTAAGCTAAGCAGTCCTACTCAAATATCACAGCAATGAGGCTGCGCAAATGAAACCAGGTTACAGTACATCCTTAACTGTCGATCTGGGAAGTTAAAATGAGTGGTCTAAACACACTTGCTTGTGTGCATCACTTGTGATAATGATTTCTGTGTAAAGTAATACAACATTTTAACCAGAGCTTTTTACATCTGGAGTCTTGCAGGCCAGAGTTGCCTGGAGTGAACAAACTTCAAATGAAAAGGATGGATAAAAGAGATATTCCCAGTTTTATTCAGCAAAAGTGTAGATGGATGTGAGATATTACTGAGAATTGTGAGAAGATATTTTCTACCCTTTGTTTGATTCCACTTTGATGAATGTATTAAGAAATAAAAAGAGTCAATCAGAGGCAGATTGGTTCATAATTTAAGACTGTATTTATCACACCACACAGTGTGCACAACAATACAAAACTCACAGCAAAGTAAGACTGACAAGTTCACCGAAACTAGTAGAATCAAGTCTCTTTGAACATACCTGTTATCTTATCATAACACACAATAGATATATAAATATAGCAAACATAACAACTCTTACTCTGACAAAAATAATATATTATTTCACAAAAATATATGACTTTGTCGGTGTATTTAAATATTTGAAGTGTCTCGGTTGTTTTTCTGGGTAGTGCATCACATTAGAAGATACTTTGAAGTGGAGCATAGAGGTTTATAAAATAAAGGAATAAATAAGCCAAGTGTAATGAAAAAAATGGTCAATGTTGGTCGATATATATGCTGTTTATAATGTATATTAATATGTACTGTGTTTTGTTCTAATTAAACCATACTTTGGTTCCTTCAGTGCTGAATGTTGATATGTAAATATAAGTGAAAGATGCACAAAACAAATAACATTGTCATTACACAATAGAAATCCTGATATTCTGCTTATTGCAACGAGGTATTGCGTAGATAGATAATTGAGAATATTGGTTATGTGGGTGAGGAGTTGTTTCCTGATCCAGCAGGGGTGAGTGGGGTCATGTGCCGGGGCAGGGCAGGACGATGAGCAGCATCAGCAGTCCCAGAGAGAGACACAGAGGACTGTGGCCCAGTGCCAGCGCCCCTGACTTCCCTGCAGGAACACAGTGAAACCAATACCATCATAGAGCCACGTATAAATGATACGTGTGGGTATTCTGCTTTTGTATGTCATAACAAAAAACACTGTGAAAGAAACGTCCCCTCCAAAAAGAGCCAATTAGCATTTATGTTGTTCGCTATTCGCGTGGTGATATTTGTTTTGATTGTATATTATACTAAACTATTATTAGTCTATCAAACAGTAAGTTGTATGTAATTGTGAGATAGTTGAATCTCTTATAAATCCCCCAATTGTGTTTTACTTTGTCCCAATTCCACACTTCTTTCTTCTAACTAGGATTGTCTATACACACATGAACACACATGAACAATCAAAATGGAGGATATTATGTTTAGGAGCTATTTAAATCAACAAAATGTAGATGATTTGAGACAGCTCCAGGATGACCTCAGACAACGAAACAATACAATTAAATATTAGATATTTGGAAATACATTTTCCTTTTCGTTGTTGTTGGACTAAGTTTATTTTAGAAATATTTAAATAAAGTTTGAGTGATGTCTGTCAGTGGAAATCTAATATGATTTACATTCAATGTAACCATTAGTACATCTCTGTTATGCTAACTTCAAAGATACAATATTATGAACATTAGTATATAGCTTTATATATCTTGATTAATAATTCATAATAATATGGAATTGGGACATAACTTTGCTTGGAGCTAAACAAAACAATTCAGCTTCGAAAAATATACCCTTCTTTACTGTCATCAGTGAAACAAGAGTTTTCTGGGTTTTAGTGGTTAACCTCTGAAGTCTACAGGCCTGTCCTCCCATGGTGTCAGCACCAGAGCCAGAGCGGTCCTCTGAACGTCAGACAGAGCAGAGAGCTGCTCCTCAGTCACTGCAGACGCCTGCTCATAGGAGAACATGCCGATCTGTCTCTGATGAAACACCACCTTTTGGAAATGAAAAACAGACAAATAGTCAAACAAAAAAAAATATAGGATAATATAGGACCTTTTAGAATTTATTCACCATGAAATGTAATTATGCTGTGAATATTGTTTAAATTAAATGTCGACTTACAGCAAACTTATCAGGTGGTATCATTGTGACAGCTGCAGGTGTCATTCCTTCTATTTGCTCTTTCACCAAAGCTGACAGAGCCATGTCTGGGAGACCAGCTGTAAAAAAAAAAGATCAAATATATTGGGATCCAGTAAAAAGAAACTCAGACAGATGTCCAATTTACACAATTTAGAATTGACACATTTTTCCTTGTATAATGGTATTTAGTACAGCTGTCCACAATGCAATTAGTTACAGAATAACCATGACACATTTTGAAATATTGTGGGTACAATCCTTATAGTGAAGGCATAATACCTGCCAGAACTCCTATCTCAATGAAGATATCAGTTCCCCACGCACTTATGGGTCCAAAGGCCAGACTGTGAGCGAGCAGCCCAACAAGAGCCAGCAGCTGCTCCTCAGAGCAGGAGAGCCTCAGCTGACCCAGCCAGAGCACCGCCTTACTGCAGCCACCCGGGGGAGACACAGCACGGGAAGTGGAGGAGGGAGGAGAAATTACTACTACTGAATAATGTCAGCTGCAGAGTTATTCTCAAAAATAAGGCATCAAAAAGAGCCTGTTTTATATCTGCTCACCTGAACTCCACAGCGTTGAAAGAATTCATCTCTGTGGTTTTAGCTCCACACAGAATGTATCCCATAGCCACCAGTGTGCTGGAGTCAAGCTGGCTCGGACTTTGTTTGGTGGAGTTTAACACAGTGGTAAACAGTGCAGAAAGCTGGGATAAAAAAAACAAGAATTATGACATTAAACACACTTAATCATCACAGTTGTTCAGTCCGGCATAATGCAGTCTAATACCGACTTTAATGAAGATATTGTTTAGCATTTTTTGAGACCTTTCTAAAGGAAACAACTTTCAGGTCTTTTTTTGTATTTCTTTGCCTCCTTGTCATGCATAACAATTGGTGGTGGGCACTTCAACAACATTCAAGTACCAACATACTGAATGTATTAGTTGTTCATTTACTTATATGACGGATTTATTTTTATATCAAACATGTCTAAAATTAAAGTTTGTGTGGTTTCTCACTAAACTGCTGTACACCTGGAGTTTAATCCTGGTGAATTAATATAAAACATAAAACAAACCCATCAAATGGGCTCAACTTTGTTGTCCACTATGATTTGACATTGGCTCATTAAATGATTCTTAGTTGTAATAGATTAATGTACATTTTACACACTATGCTCTCAGAAAATAAATATTTGTAAGGTAATATAATATAAGAATAATAAAAAAGGGACACACTGGTATCAACTTTGACCAAATTTGTTCAGAACTTAGTGCAAGCGGTATAGTACATTAGTGTGATTTGTTAACTTTTACACCTGCAGCAGCTACCTGTCTGTTGCTCCAGGCGCTGACAGACCCCAGAGCAGCGATGCTTGTCCGCTCAGTCAGTCGGAGCCTGCTCAGCTCCTCCAGTCTCAGCTCTATCGTTATTCCTCCAAGCTGAGAGATCACAGACTGGGAGAAGGATGAAGCCGGGCCGTATATCTGCACACACCCAGTAAAGACAGCACAAACACTAAGTGTTCATATTTGGACTGAGGAAGGGAAACAGTCTCATATCAAACAGATCTGAGAGGTTCTTAGACCGACTGAGGAATACTTAAGATCTCACCTGTTTGACTCTCTTGAGCACCTGGCTGCGCTGGTAGGATGCGAGAAACGTGTCCTGACCCATCAGCTCCAGGCAGTTGGAGAAGGCCGATGGGGACATGCTGGTCAGACTATTGGAGGTCCAGACAGAGGGAGATGTTGTATGCAGAATCTCACAAGTAGGAACCATAGGAGTCGCTGGTTAAGACACAGACACAAATATCTGATCAGGAGATGCTGTTGACATACAACACATAACTAAATAAAGCATATGAAATGGAAAAAAAAGTAAAGAATATGAACTTTTGTTGTACTTATTGTATGAATTTCCAATACTTTATTCAAACCAAAAAACACTACAATTTTCTTGAACAATAATTGGCTTGCCATACATTTAGGGAATTGTATGACATTCAATATGGTGCATCCTCACAATGCTTGTTATGGTTATTGTGTTAAAACTTGTGTTACTATTACTGTGTTTTAACACTTCAGAATTTGAACAGATTAAAAACAGTTATATGGAATTTAATAAGTCAGCATTAAAGGTGCTTTGAATCTCACTGTTTCAAGTCCTTGAGCTAAGCTAAGACTTTTCAACAGACAGACACCAGAGTGATATCGAATTTCCAGCCTAACACTAGGAAAAAGCCATAATGTCAAACTCTTTTTTCAAAGACAGTCTGTTTGTTAAAAGCTATCCTGTTACTGCCTTGGTTGCAGTAGCTGAAATAGGCATTATTGCCCAAAATGTTAAACTGTTTCTTCGCTGACTGACTATTAGACTGAGATTTTAGGAAACAAAGAGATGCTCACGTGAATCAGGATTTATTTTGAGAAAGCCCAGGAAAAACTGTAGAACAAATTGTTGCTTCTCAAAGAATCTCTTCCTCTCGTTCTCGTTGAAACAGTCGATCCCCACATCCCCACGTTCCCACTGACGCTGGCTCATGAACAGCTTCTCTATCCGGCCCACAGTCATCACCGCCTGGGGGAACACAAACATCAACACTTACGGACAAACAATGAATGTTTACCTGAAACTGGGAACTTCACAACCTGATCCTGACACTTACGGGAGAAGCGACACCTGAGAGATTTGTTGGCAGCCTTTGTTGGTCTTACACGCCATGGATTAAGTAACAATCACTACGCCTCACTTTAGATTTCTGCACGTTGACTAAATCCGTAACAGGAACTAGTTTTGCAATTTCCTTCATCTCAGGAGAAAACTCAGTCAATCTCAGGAGTAATGAAGATGTTTTACCAAACAAATAGAAACCCCCGCAGTAAACTCACTAGGGAAATCTTCTGCAGTTTGTTTTCAGGCAGGAAGAATAGAAACCGGTCCACTTGGCTGAGTGTTGTCTGGTTCCAGTTGTTGACCGGGCTGTGAGAAAACAAGACCAATCTTTCATAAAACCGGTAGAGCATTTGTCATATAAAACATATTCCATATAATTCTGATTATTTACATATGTTCCTCCTTAATTGTTAACGTACATAGTTCACTGTATAAGTTAAGGAATCCCAAAAACACACTTTATAGTGGAAAGTCATCATACATTATAAGGAGGCTGATTTCTTAAGATGCATTGGAAAGTTTGTTGATTCATTCAGTTCTCATAATGGCAAAATATCATTATGCATAAAGCCATGTTCACAAAAACAGCCATCCTCTTCTATGCTTCTTATAGCAAATTAAATATTCACTGAAAATTCAAAAGCTGCAGACAAACTGTTAAACTTATGAAGTTAGGTTATGTGTTTAATCTTCCTCTGATTACGCTTCATATTTTTAAAAGTGAATGTATACGGTTTTCTTTGGCGTCATCAGAAATGCGCCAAGGATATGTAATGGCATGTTTATGCTACCATGTGGTTCAAAAGTTCACTGTTGAATTAAATCATAAAGAATCCAATTCCAACAAATATAGTTTCAGTTATAGGTGGTATCGTTACCCGAAGGCAGCAGGTTCTTGCAGGATACGAGCCATAATGTCCATCTTGCTGCTGCTGTAGCAGAGACCTTGGAGGAAATCCAGGTTCTCGATGAAGAAGCTGCGGTCCAGCTGAATCAACACCTCATCCACCACAAACGGAGCCATAATGCCCAGTGAATGAAACTCATCCTCAGTGAACACCCCTGTGTACATGCCCTGCAGAGAAAGGGTCCACAAAACGCTGATCACAAAGCAAATATGACACTCTCTTCACATATGAACATCTACCATCTTCTTCTTGTTTATTTGCCTTTGTTATATATATATATTTTTTTTTTCAAAGAAAAGGAATCAGTATAGCGACACGGTTTGGCTCTACTAACCATCCTCTGCACCATTTTGTCCACCAGCAGGTCTTGTTTTGTTCTGGAGAGCAAGAGGAAGTGACGAGGTTCCTGGACAATTATTTTCCTCAGAGTCTCCATCATATCTGTGGGAAACTTCTTAATGGTGCTAACCCTGTCAAAGACAAATTATAAAAATTAGTTTTATTTTATAGTAAAAAAATGGAACATCTAATATATATTTCATATCCAAATGGAGCGAGTGGCCTTTTACCTTTAACGTTATTGTAGTAAACGTTACTCTATGTGTTAATATTTAATAGCTCATGATATGTGCACAAGGCTTTTCCATATATCTCCTGCAACATAGGTTTTTGACATATAATTCTTAATAATGAGATGAACTTTTCCCCTCAATAATGTTTTAAAGTATCTGATAATTATGCTAGCACATTAAAAGTACAGTGATCATTGTCAATTTTGGACTTACGGCATGGAAAGGGCAATCTCAGCCCCGAGATCTTTGAGCAGCTCAGAGAAGAACTCAAACTGGTACAGCTCCTCGATCACACACTTTTTCTGTCCAGAAGATGAAGGACAGAGGAGAAAGAACATCATGTCTCTTGTATTTATAGTAAACTATTTATTTTAATTACGTCATATTTATTATAGATAGGTAGATAGAGTGGCATCAATCTAACAGGTAAGTTTACCAGGGAAGTGTGAAGAAGACCAGGCTGCTGTCTGAGGGAGGTCAGGATTTTTCTCACTGAAGAGGGTGAGGAATCAGCTCGAAAACGTTCCTGTAAGACCTTACAACTCACACCCTGGCCCACTGTTCCCAGGCTCCTGATTACATAGAGATTAGTGTCAATATCTTTCATGTATTTGTTACATACACTGTACTGCAAAAACCATCAAAGTTAAAAGACAGAGAGAATTTGCTGCCAATAGTATCTATATAATTTGGACATAGACTAGAAGTTGGCGCAGAGAAAATAGTATGTACACATTTATCACAGAACTTTACTTACAGAAAATCTTGTTTGATTACGTTTGGTCTAGTATCAAGCACCTCTTTAAAAATTGCTTTAGCCTGGGGAGAAAATGGAGAAAACGTTATTTTGCAAAAGGTTTTTTTCTGGGCTGCTTCTTCCCCAGTTTAAAGCATCATGGATATCTGATATGAAGACAGTTTTTGTCTGAGTTGTTTGTATTCACAGGGACGTCCATTCATAGTGTCAGTGAAGATGTGTTTGAGTCTGCCTCTCCGCTCAATTATTAAGCAGTTAATGAAGATAATGTCATATACACCTAATCATGTCACATGTCATGAGGAAGCATGTTTAATCAGAGGAAGCAGGAAGAGATCACAATGTTAAAGTCACAGCCTCGGGTTATATGTCAAGCAAGCTTTTTGGAGCTGACAAAACTCTCGATAGCCTATTCCAACGTGGGGCAACACATCTCATTGAATTACTTTCTCTGTTAATAACTATATCTACACTTTCTAAAAATGGTTTGCACATATGTTACATAACTTCTCATAATTTACATTATTCAAAAATCTGAAAAGCAGAGGTCAGTTAAGAAAACGTTTAGAAATATATTGGGATATTCTGAAACCATTCATTTCATTGCTTAAAACTAACTGACTTTGTTTCTTTTGAGGCTTCTCTGATATTTGTCCAAACAAAACAACTTGACAAATGAAAATAACTCTTTGATTGAACCTGTTTGCATGCCCACTGTGACGATAACTCATGAGGTGGGAGCGAATGTATTAGGAGGTACAGAGCAAACAGGTTGAATACAATCTACAACACTAGATTGGCTGTGTGATACCTGCTGTGTGTTCCAGGGTTTGGAGGATGCGGTGGTGAGGTTGTTCACAAGCAGACGAGTCCTTGGCAAGACGCTGAGCAGGGGCGTGCAATATAGCAACGGCTCCACATCATCCTGCCAACCCACTACTTCTGGGAAGCCCTGGTGACAACAGAGGTGAGACAACACAAGGACAAGTTTTTCAGCCGTCCAATAATACAGATAAATAATCTACCCATAGAGAGAAAAGGTGAGATTTTTCCATACATTTCTTCAAGTCAAGGATCTGTGTGTGTGTGCGTGTGTGTGTGTGTGTGTGTGTGTGTGTGTGTGTGTGTGTGTGTGTGTGTGTGTGTGTGTGTGTGTGTGTGTGTGTGTGTGTGTGTGATGTACCCATAGTTTTGTGGAGATAGCATTAGCCTGTGGCGGGCTGAGGCCTGGTGTGTGTTGGGCCATATCTGGGAGGGAAGTCAGCAGCTTGTCCGAGGTAAGAGTCAAGAAGGTCTCTGTCTTTATTCCCACAATGAGCGAGCCGAGCTTCTGCAGCTGGCTGGGATCGGTGAGCTAGGCGGAGGGGAGGCAGGTGTTAGACTCAGGATGCAGAAATACAGAGAGTATCTCTATACTAAGCTCACATTGTGATGGGTTTATAAAATAACTCACACTTGTCATTGAAGACAACTTCTCCACAATTATGGAAGCCTGAAAAATATACAGAATGACAGCAAATGAATACAAATACAATACTTTAGTACCTTAGTATGTCGGATGATTTGTATGTAATAACTTGAGCTCTGTACACTGTCCTTCCCATTAATTCCCTATTAACTAGAATAATTTAACTTTATGTTTGCTTCATGATGTATCTGTAGGTTCGAAGAGGTTTATCCTCCAAGGACACCTTATGACGTGCAAAAGCAGCTGTGAGGTGGAGGTAAAAGTAAAAGGCTCCAGTTCAGTTGATAGCTGAGGTTGAAGTTAAGCCTAGGTCTTTGTCTCATGAGCCGTCTCGCTTCAGGGGTCAGTTTGCTGCAGACCGACTGCCTGTCAGCTGTTCCTCAAACCTACAAGCCCCACCAGCTGCCAGGATACTCAACCAAGTACAACAAATAGGGGCTGATGCAGTGAAAGAAACTCATTAAACCCCTGATATTCCTTTTACACAAAAGAAAACTGTATGTTAAATGGCAATAGAATTGAGCGATAGAAGATGATTGCTGCATCTTCCTCTTTACATTACAGGTTGAGTATGCTCCCCTACCTGAGCAGGGCTGAATGGAACAGAGCTGAGGGCAGGGAGGGCAGAGAGCAGCTGTGAGGGGGTGACGCCCTGCAGGAAGGTCACACCCAGCGAGGGCAGGAGGTGGCTGAGCTCTGCCAGGCGGTCAGGACTGAGCAGGGAGGGGATCTTTAGTTCTGTGCTGTTCAGTAACACACTGGAAATCTGAAAGTTAGGTTTAGAACAAGCACACGGACAGAAATGATATGATATGAATACTCCTTTGAATGAAAACACACATATTAAAATATAAAAAAACAAAACACAAAGTAACTTCTCTGTTCCTACCAGATGGCTGGGCAGACCTTTGTCACGTGTGCAGTTCATCACAATGTCCTGGATGACACTGAAGGCCTCAGTGTCTTGTCTGTATACAAGGAGGTCCTCAGGGTCTGCCATGCATGACAGATTACCAAGCCTAAAAGAGAAACAACGTTTTATTGACAACACACCTGGGAGCAGTTGTGAATATTTCCTTTTAAAAAAGTATATAAATGTACACATCTTGTATACAAATTGTTCATTCATAGTTGCCCAAAGCAAATCTGACAATAGTATATCTGTAAGATAAAAGCTAGAGACAAAGCCGTATTACTGGTACACTAGTTTACATATATGCATAAGTTGTTTCTGCGTGGGTTTCTAGATTTATATATATATTTTTTATATTTTAAATTACACTTCAATTCAAAACACTACAATTTCTGTGGTGAAATTCCACTATAGATTGTGCAAAATAGTAAACTTTCTTTTTTCTTTTATGCAGTAATTTGGTCACTTAATCAAAAATAAATGACTACTTTAAATAGTTGACATATATAAAGTCATATAAGATTTTGTTGAGCATACTAACAGAAAGTCACGACTCAAATGTATGAATAAGCAAGTGTAAATTACATTAATGATATTATTACAAGTTATATTGATGTAACTTTATCTAACTATGGAAGCAACATACTTGACCAATTATTACTTTACACTTATACTAACAAGTGTCAAATTAACCTGAACAAATGAATGTGAATGTGTTTTTTGCCAGGTTACACGCAGGTGAGTTTATGTCTAAGAACAGTTGACATGGACAGAAAGGTTGAAGGTGCCTTCCTTCAGTCATTCCTTACCTGATAAAATCCTGAGCCGTCAGATTCCTGTAGGTGCCGATGACTTTTTGAGCTATAAACTCCTGCTTTAGAGAAGTGAGGGGGTTTCTCTGCAACACATCCAGCCCGTCCAACAGCTGCAAAGAAACACGATGACAGAACTCTGTGTCTGAACATATGAAATTTAAAACTTTTTGAAATGTGAGGAAATATTATTAGAGAAACAATTATTTAGATGTCTACAAACCTATACAGAACAGAACCATGATTCATTCAAAGGAATCATTTCACATTTTCCAAAAATGAGCTTTTTTGCTCTGTTGGTTGTAAAATACAAAGCATTAAGTAAATTATGCAAGTATTCCACTTCGAACAACGTATAGCACCAATATTTAGTAATGTTCTAAACATCTTAATGTGAAAATGTAATATTGTGTATCATTAAAACCTTTGAAATTCATGGTTGAGAGCTGAAAGGTCAGTAACCCCTTTTTCTTTGGGTCATTGGTAATTCGTGTGTTCCTATCTTTACTTATTGAACATTTAGCTGGGAGCATATAACACGCATTGACAGAGAAAGAAGAGTCTGTCTTTGCTTTCCTGTGAGCAGTTTGTGACTGCTCTGCTCTGCCCCGAGGATAAAGCAGCTGAGGAGTGCCAGCTGCTCGGGTTTCTCAGCCAGGTGTCAGGGCTCAGAGGCTGTTACCTGAGCAGAGGAGAGGTGTTGGAAGTTGTGGAAGGGCAGGTAGGCAATCAGGTTTCCGGTGTCCCTGATCAGTGACTGATGACTTCTGATAATGTAAGAGGCAGGCATAACTTTGCTGTACCACGAGCCAAAGGCCTGCCGCTGGTCCAGAGTCATGATCTTCAAGTCTCTGTTAATGGTCTCCCTCCTAGAAAGAAAATATATTAATACGATTTTTATTGTGTTTTAAAGGAACTGTTTTATTAAATATCGCATTGCATTTAAGCAATGTAAACAAAGTGAGAGGTTGGGTAACACATATTCAACTCAAATGGGCACAAATATTGAAGAAAACATTTTGGTGAATTCACTTCAATTGGTTTTTGATACGAGTTAGTTGAGATGGTTGATAAATACACGTTTTGTTCAATTCAGCGAATATCTAATCACGGTTGTTTGTGTAATCAGCAAGAGGTTCATGCTTGTTCATGCTTGTGTACAATACAGAGGGAAGGAGGAATATATTGGTTTTTGAATTTGGATGGACAAATCTCAAGAAAGTATAATCCGAGGAAATAAACTGGGCCATATTTAAAAAAACTCTAAAGAGGTGCAAACAGATACCATGACTCTGTCTAAAGGAAGAAAAGGTCTCTGATTTGCAATAGCACGTAATATCTTGTTTGTGTACTGGATGTTATGGTGCGAATTGTATGACCGGCTGTTTTCTTCTTAATTTACCAGGCTTAATGCTAAGCTATAATTGACTTGCCTCTGGCAGCTACATAATTACCACATATTGTCAAAGTGGTATCATCAATGGACACTTATTAGGTCCTTCTATAAAGAAAATAAACAATAAGTGCATGTTTGACTATGATACTATGAGAGAATTTGTAGCATAGTTGTATTTTTTCTTTAATTGTACTGTCTAGAGACAAAACTTGAGATTAATTTGGTCTTGAGTATACAACTACATTTCTTTTTGTTCTGCCTTTTAATGTCTTATCTCTTTGGAGATTGAAATCTAGTCAGTGAACCAGTTTCCTTTACTTTCTATGTATTATGCATGGTCCTGGCACCTCAAGGTGCAATGACACATCTCTTTTTTCGCAGAAGCCTGACACTAGTGCTGTGTTGAGAAGGAAGCATAATGTGTGTAGGTGAGATTGCAGGATTGTGCGACATTGGTAATAAATCATGGTGTTCATTGCATACTCTTGGCAGATGATAAACTCAGTTCTGATTCCCATCAAACATAAACAGCACCACAAATTAACTTCTAAGAAACCAAGGAAACAATCATCATTCACATACCAGAGAAAAAGAGAACAAAACTGCTTAGAATAAGTAAAACAATATTGAGATGATTACAAATGAGTATTTGTTCATTCTAAATGATTAGTTGACACTATGACTTACACATTGATGTTGTTCTGCAGTGAGGGCAAAGCTTGGATGTCAGCTGGGCTCGCTGCAGCAAGCAGGGCGGCCAGATCCGGGAACAGACTGCCGTCTTTAACCAGGTGGGTCTGGAACAGCACTGAGACCATGGTGGACAGGTACTTTTTTGGTAACTAGCAAATAAAAGAAAATACCAGTTCTGTGTCAGCTGGAATGTGCAACTGTATACTGTGTAATAACTAAGAATTAAGAAGAAGAAAATGTAGAAAATGTTCTGGTAGGTTTCATATTGTTGTGTAATGGTGTTTTCACCTTCAGTGTATCCTTGTTTCTGCTGTAGTACTGGAGGATCAGTCTGACGGTAGTGATGTGAGCTGAACTGAGCACTGAGCTCAGGCTGCTCAGAGGGATACTGAAATACTCCTGGACACATAAAACGTGACTAATTAGGAATATAAACACATCAAATACAGTCATGAATAATACAAGAGTGTGCATGCATACAATAAGGATCTACAGCCGTGCTGGCAGCTGTGCAAGGCCGGACTTGGGCACAGTTGTGCTTTGAGCTAAAAGCTAATGTCAGCATACTTACATGCACACAACGAGGATGCTAACTACTTATGCTGAGTAAGTATAATATTCACCCTGTTGACCATTTTTACGTTACCACGTAAGCAATCCATTTTAGGCGAAGGATGGGAATGTAACTAGTTTTGCAGGTACTTGAACATTAACCAAAGTTTGAGGCAAATTGAAGTTTTGAAATAATAATAATGCCAGAGGAAAAGACAGAGAGCCATATTAGTGTATTAGTATTAATACATATTAGCCATATTAGTGTGCTCCGCCGAGCGGAGCTCTGCGGGAAACATCATTTGAGGAACATGGATTTCTGCAAATAATTTGAGCTGAAACATTGGGTAAATGTTCAGGGTTCAGGATTTCACAGGGCAAGTTAATACTTTGACCTTCTGGTGGCTCTAGAGGAATAATCAGGGGATCAGCAAAGTCATTAGGATTCATCCTCTTGGGATCATGCATGTCTGGACAGAATTTAATTGAAATCCATTCAATAAGTGTTAAGATATTTAAGTCAGATCAAAGCTACTGACAGGATGACTCTGCCATCCCTAGCCATGCAGCTAGCATATCTCAAAACTCACATTAACATTTCAGTTTGGTATAATTCACCTTAATGACGAGCAATTCATTACTGCTCACGTCCCTTGCGGTCTGCATCAGGCTGGTTAAGACTGTCTACAAAATAGAAACAAAAACACTATTAACAGGGGGGTTAATGTCACCACATAATCTGGTAGGCTGTTTTAACTCATCATTGTATTTGTCAAATCAAAGGTGTCAATCTGTAGAGATTACACCCAGAGGAAGAGATTCATTATGTCTGTATGGATGACAGGAGGAGTAACCGTACACCAGCCTGTACACTAGAGGTCATACAGTGACACGAATGGTAACTGGTATGTTTGAGGATTACATAAACCATAAAGTCAATGACATTGTTCTACTGAGTAGCTGATTGACTCTTCATGAATAACATGAGGGAGAAACTCAATTCATACTATGCTCTGACTAACCAACAGAATACATGTCTAAGAAAAGTATACTTCCTCCACCACTGATAGCAAGTTACCTTTTTTACAAACAATTAAAAGCACAATCAAACTACATACCCCAAAGCACTGCAGCAACACCCTCTTTTTGTCGAAGTTTGTCTCCCTCTCCAGATAGTGACCTACAGATGTTAACACACTCAGTCGTATGTTCTTGTTGACGTACAGCGAGGTGTTCTGGACTTCCTCAAGTGCCAACAGTATCACCACTGTAGTGCTGACCGCCTGCTCCAGCACTGTGGCCACAGGTGGAGTCATCAGCCCCTCCACCCTGTACCTCAGACTCTCCACCCAGCAGCGCAGCATCATCTGCAGGGCCATTTTCTGGCTGGCCCCCGGCTGGCAGGCGGAGGTGAAGTCAACAGAGCAGCTCCAGTTGAACTGACTCACCAGGCTTTTGACCAGGCAAAAAGTAGGCGGTGCGGTGGTGCTGCTGTTATTCTTAGGAGTGGTGTAGTTGGTGTAGGTGATACACATTCTGCCCACCCATACACTAGATGGCTCCCGGGACAGCAAAAAGAGAAGACCAGCATTAGGGCAGATGGAGGAGACAAAGCTGGTCTGGTCCTTCTCCCAGCAGAGAGTCAGGAGCGCTGCGTCTGGAAGAGACGTGCTCCAGCTGGCGTACAGGCACTGCTCTGCAGGCTTGAACCCAGGCAGGACTGTTCCTGGAGCTATCCCTGTTACTGAATGGTTGGCACAGTGCTGTATTAACCAGGTGTTGTCCTGGTTGGCCAACAGGTTCTGGAGTATCGTGGCATTGGTGCAGACTTTGGACGTGAAGTTAAGTTTGTCGATCTCAGCGCAGAGAGCTAGCACAGTCATGTCCACGATGATGGGACGGGTCCACTCAGAGTACCTGCACATCTAAAGAAAAGATTAGGGTGGATGAAAGATCAGAATACAAAGTCTGTACCACTGATTGATTTAAAATAACCTTTACACTTGCAACTTGTCACATTATTTCACCTTTTGCAGATGAAAAACATACATTTTGTTTGCATATTAAAGCCTCTTCTACTTTTCAGGACAGTGTGCTGGCAATATGAAATGGGACTTACTAACATGTTCTTTATTTTGTGCATGCAAGTTGATTAGACTATGGATATACAAATAGACTCAGGTAAGATACACACCTGTGGACACACTGTCATTTCCTCCATTGCCTTTATGTCTGTGCAGGATGATGTAAGCCATTGGTTTTGAAAGTTTTTTAACAGCTTTTTCAACACAGACGCCTTGCAGCAGACATTCTCCCGAAAAGCAAGCTGGTCATGCTGCCAACAGAGGCCGACTACTGAATCATCCACCTCCCGCTCTCCCCAGGTCTGGTATTCGCACCAGCCAACGATGTCGAAGATCTCAGTCGGCTCGGTGGGTAGAACGGTGAGAGATGAGTTGCAGTGAGCTTCAAGCCAGGCATTTTCTTTATTGCGCAGCAGGCTGTTCAGAAACGTGTTGTTAGAGCAAACCTCTCTGGTGAAAGCAATGTTATCTTGGAGGATGCACTGCGACAAAACATCAATGGTGATCTGCATCACATCATGCCACTCTGAGTAACGACAAGAATCTAACATCAATGGACCCATCTCTGGGAATTGTGATGCAGGGGGCAGGCTTGTGCAGTTAGGCATGAACGGTCCATTGTCAGGGTTGGAGAATAGAAACATGAAGAATCCAGTGTGCTCACAGATGATTTGGGTTAGCCTGAGCCGGTCCAAGCTAAAGCAGAACTCCAGTAAGGGCGGGTCCACCAAGACTGAGGACTGCTCGATCCAACTCTCATAGACGCAGAACTGACTCACCAAGTACCCAGGCTCTGCAGAGGAGTTGGCACAGTATCCATACAGCCAGATGTTCATCTTGTCTGAGAGCAGCTTCCTCATCAACAAAGCATTGTTACACACCCGCTTCACAAACGCCTCACGTTCGTTATCGCTGCACAGGGACACCAGGACAGCGTCCACCATCCCAGTCTCCAACCAGTTGTCAAAGTTGCAGGCGAGCAATTTGAGGTTGGAGGCATCTCTGACTACTCGATGAGGTGCAGATGGAGAAGGAAGGGGAGGGGTGGCGGCAGGGGGAGGCTGGGCATCCCCAAAGCTGCAGTCCGATGACCGGCTGAGAAGTGGAGATGCCAGTGTTTGAATAACATAACATGTGTTGCTCCACACCTGCTCTATCTGGGTAGGGCTGAGGGAGCTTAGCGCCTGACAAAATGTGAGCACAGATGTGGATCCCGCTCGGGACCCCGTGAGGATGTTGGCACACAGCGTGTCGTTGAGCCTGGCCAGGTTGTGGCGATCACATTTTAGCAGGATTTCCTGGTTGTTATTGGTGTTGTTGTTTGTCTCTGAGGCGCTGCGTTGGAAGGAGACGCTGGGAGGGTTCTGGCACTCTGATCCTGGATATGTGCACAGAGACTGCTCTGGAGCCAGGAAGATTTCCATGAGGATGTCAATGATGGAGGTACCGAAGAACCAGGTCACATTGTTGCTTATTCCCCTAAAAAAAAACTGAATTTATACTGATTCTTTCTAAACAAGATTTTCTAAATTGATTACAGGTAGCTACTTTGGCTTATATGTATTATACTTCTCTGTGAAATCAAGGGAGATGTAATGGACTCCACCACCATAAAGAATAGTTTTGTTTTCCTTATTTATTATAAAGGGACTTCAAACGCATTTCATTGTGTTGTAAATAAACCATGATGAGTATAACAGAATTAGAGACTCATGTTTCTTGCGAAAATGAGCCTTGTGAATTGCAATCTTATATTATGCCTTGCATTTTCTAGTCTTTTAATACATTTTTTTATTAAAGAAAACGTACATTTTCTAACATGTTTGGTTATTGTTTGCTTTAGAAAGAGCTCAAATGTTGAATCACTCACAGTAGAACTTCACCATCAAAAAAGTAATGTGTGTACTACTCGTGCATGAGATGAGAGTGGCAGAATATTTTTGTTAAAGAAAAACATAATAAATAGGTTTTTGGCAAACAATTGCTGAATAGTGCTACTAGTGGTAAGCTTCACATGGTGGTTTTAATAATGAAAGGTTCTGACTTTTTGACTTACCACAAAATAAGCTGCTTGAGATCTCCTGCAGAACAATGGGAAAACAAGTTGGTTAACATTAAGAAGTTAAAATAAAGTGTTTTTCATACTGCAACACTTTACATGTTTTACCTTGCTCACAGACCTCTGTTCCGTCTAATGATGGTATTCTTATTCCAAACTGTAAAGCTATTTTAATATAGTCCATTGGTATTTGCAGTAACGCTGCCATGGACTTTGAGAAATACGTCACAGCTGCATCCACGAGGCCACTCACAGAACTTATCAAATTCCCAGAGAGAGGGACACTTGACAGTATATTTATGAATGTTTGCTGGAAACCGTTTAATGCTGCCGTTGTTGATGCCCCCATCCTGATGTAGGCCCCCATGAAGCTGTTTGACTCTCCGTCGCTGCTCAGTGGAGAGCATGTCTGGGATCTGAGGGACGACACAAACGTCAGCAGGGGCTTCCCCAACTCCAGAGTCACGGTCTTTGTTAGTTCTGCCTGGAGGCCACAATCCTTTTTCCCCGACAGCAGACACACTAACATCTTGGGAAGGTCATCCATGAACTGTTCTCCCAGCAGGGGTTGAAATACAGACAATAAGTTACTCAGAGCCTCATAATATGCATTAAGGTCAAAACCTTTCCCCATTAAAGAGACCCCGAGGCTGCGGGCCTTTGCATTTTCACTGGACAAAGAGTGAATTTGATTAATAACTTTCCGGATGTCTTCCTCTAATTTGGTGTCTTCGTCAGGTGTCTGGTCGGAATGTCTTTGTATTAATTTGGGTTGTGAAAACACCTGCTGGACATCACATATGATCCCTGTAGATTTTAAGAAACAAAGAAAAGAAAAAAAATTGTTTTTGAGCCGATACTCTTTTGTATTGTGAAAATGTGCGACATCAAGAATCAATGATTGAAAACTCAGATACACCAATGTATCTAATTTACTTTCTGTTAAAAGGCTCAGGAAAAAAACAAAACATTCTTGACTTGAGCAAAACAATGTTACTATGTACATTGTGAGGGTGTAAGAATTGCAGTCTTACACAAGCACATATTCTCATTTGTGTTAATAAAGCTATAATAACAATTTATACTAATCATTTAAACTTTTTCATTATTAATATCACCTAATTTTGCCCTCAGATGAAACGTTTTCTGTTGCCTTTTCTGAAATGTAATGTACTTACCAAACAGGATGCACAGCATGCATGCAGCTGGTGTCGACCACATTGTAATAGTTCTCATGCAAAAAAGTTCAAGCAGGCGTCCAGTCCAGATTATAATGGTAAAAACAACAACTTTGCTTTATCCTGTAGAGATCTTCAACTGAGGAAGAACCAGATTGAGAAAAGGCTTCATGTTGGTAAACTATACAGAGTTCAACAAGTCGTCGCTCATCCTTCAAACTTCATCTTTTCCCAGCAGGCTACTGTGCTCTCTGGAGCTCATCACCTCTGCTTCTACCTGCAACTCTACCCCTGCTTTGAAACGGCGTAATTAAGGACACCGGTAAAGGGAAAAAGGTAGGTGCGAAATGAGGGCTGTGAAATGCAGAAGGGATTTCAGCAAGAAGCCTGGCCATCGGTGCTGAATTATTAATGGAGTGTGTTGATTAAGTCGTGCATCTGAAACCCGAGCCCTGTCAGAGGAGCGAGAAGACTCCGGGCTGACAGCTGGAGGATTTTAAAGACATCTGCTGCAAAATACTACTGCGGACTGCAGCTCCCAATGATGGTGGTCCTTCAGACGGTCAAAGAGCATTTGGTCTAGGTCTCTAGGACTAGGTCATTCAAACAAAAATATTTTGGAAATGTTTTGAACAACAACCCTGTTAAAAAGTATACATAATCGTAACAAGGTAGTCACTTATTTTTAAATGGGCTCCTACATAATGATGTATTTTAAAGGTTTCCTATATTGCCTTATTGTCTTCAAATGGAAAACTCATTCAAGTTTTAATAAATCACATTTAACATTAAATAAAAATCCCTTAAATCTACAATTTAGAGATGAAACAAAATCATCTAAATCACAGAGTCCAATTAAAATACACCAAAAATCTAATATCAAATAGTTAAATAATTGAAGGAAAGTTAATGGAAGGAGTTAAGATAAAAGGCTAATCTGGAAAAGGGTATTATTATAAACTATTTCTATTTGGCAAATATGAAGTGAATATAAACAAGGCACTATGAAGCCTGTGAAATGCAAAGTGAACGCTTAGTGATATTAAAATAATATGTAGGCCTTTTAATGCTGCTCCAATTCATATAGTGGTGCCATTTCTGTTGGCAAAAAATGAGGAAATCCATCTCTTAATAAGCATAGTTGGTGCAACAGGACCCCACACATGAACCATTGTGAATTAATGAATTGTCCCCTATATTCAGACAGTTAAGAGAAATAAAAACAAAGAGCATGCAAGAGGTTTTTAACTTTAAAACTTTCTTTCAAATTCAATGTAACTGTACACTTTACAATAGCATAAAGCCTGACGGCGTACAAAGATGTCTTAAAACATTTTAAATACATCTTCAGCACAAATAGCAATTGTTGCAAGTAAAATGGCTTAACAGATATTGGAAGAAAAAAAAATCATTAACACAATTGCTCTTTTCTGCAGAAAAAGTGCCATGATTAAAATTTAATTTAGGACTTTCCCACAAAGCAAGCGGTTTTCTCTACATGCTAAGTTTAACAGTTCAGTGACATTGCGCTAAACTAAACATACAGATATTTGTAAGAAAAAAGAAAACACTCCATCTGATATAAAGTTAAATCTTCATTAATACATTTAAAAAGTAGATAGGACATGCCTTTTGAAATAAAAAATACAAAAGATTTTCCTTACTTTAAGGATTTTTTTAAACATGAAGCTGCATGTATTGTACAACACTCAGTGTACAATAAACTGGTAATGCACGTTAAAATGAGCTGAGTGAGAAGTATCAAACGCCCCCCCCCCCCCATCCTGCACAAACAAGCCCCGGCTGATCACACACACAGGGTCTCTCCGAGGGAACGACATCGCGCTCTCTACGCGAGGCTTGCATTCTGAAAGATAGCAGTCAGGATAGTGAGAGCTGAGGAGAGGGGGGGCTAACTTTAGGGGACTTCAAGACATGTTTCCTCTTCCTGCATATTGTTCTCGCCTCCTCTGCAACGTGTGAACGGCAGAGCCATGCTGCCATCCCTTGTTCTAATTGATGAGGGGTGAAGAAAACAAGGATTTCAGAAAGACACTTAAGACTTCACCCCGTGTACAATTTACATTCATAGTCCGGAGATGTTTAATCACGCAAACACCATTGTGCCCTGTAACAAATGTTACTTCAGTACAAACTAATTCTTATTTCTGGAGAAGGAAAACAAAAAAAGGTGGTAGGAAGGCGAATAATGGCCAGATGGAAACCATCTGTGAGCAGAAGCTGCGTTCAGTGAGGGCTCAGTACGATCCCCCCGGTAAATGTTCTGGGGGGGGGGGGGGGGGTAGTAATCACAGTACACAACAAATACAGCACACTGAAAATAACAGGGGAGGGGGGCCGAGTGTCTGCAGAACTTTGAGGTCTGATTGTCCCTTTCTATCTGGGGGGAGGGGGGTATAATGGAGGGATCGTATGGCACTGTACAGGCAACCAATCCAAACACTCACATCTGCTTGAACGTAAAAAAGGTTCAACAATGCATGCCAATTTGTCACAGAAATTCAAGTTAACGCGAGTGTTTGGGCAATGGCCGTCATGTTGGGCTTTCCATCTTTAGCTCTGAGGTTTAGTAAGGATGCCAACAAAACATCTGCATGTCAGAATACTGTTTGTCTCAATATTAAATAAATAAAAGTTGAGAAACAAGAGTGTCTGAGTGTCCAGGCTGATGTCCGGCAGAAACACATTCATATAGTTACCATTCTTAAACAATGCTTTAAACTGCACTAACCACAAAACTGAAAAAAGGGAACTTAAAAAGTACAAAGTAAAAAAATGAAACATCTGGAGGAACAGCCAAGGAAGCTGTTGAACAGTATGTTGCTGGTACAGCGTCCGGCCTTAGATATGAACAGACTTTCTGCTACATTAGTCAGAATGCTACTGAAAACCACTAAAAGAAACCGAGCTCTGATTTTAGCCAGAAAACTTGATGAGGAGAAAAATACAATACTGGTTATAGACAAATCAAAGGTAACGCTGATCATTTTGAAAATGAATGCCCTCAAACCTTTACAATATGTCAGATTTCCAGGTAAGTAGATTCTTAATCCTAACATTTAATTAAAGAGCCTTGTTGTGACCAACACATTGATTTAAACCTATTTGTTAAAAGAGAACAAACTATTCTTAAGTCCATTTAGTTTGACTATGCAGTGGACTGTCATTAATATGCACCCATGTTCTCCTAATAGAAAAAAAGGCTTACAATAAAAACGTACACAACCCCTTTTAAAACATCATATCTTACAAACAGAAGTAAAACACTTTGAAACGCTATCTTTTTTTTTTTTTTTTAACAATGAAACACCAGTTTTACCAGAAAAAAACTGCAACCAACGATAGAAACTTGACTCAGCTACGTAGGAATGCATATGATTTTAAAGGCTACAGATCGTAGGTTGTCAGTGTGTGTGGCCCGGAGTAAACATACACACATGCACAGATTGATTTTCAGGCCAGTCATTCCTGCTGGAAACGAGCGTGGTTATTTGTCAGCGTCACCAGCGTGAGCACCAGTGGGTTGGTTTGGGTTCAAGGACTCGACTCGGGTCAGGGGGGGGGGGAGTTCCTCTTTACCAAGTGGCTTTTTTAAATCCACTAAACCAGCACCAAGACCTCAGAGTTTAGTGGAGGAGATATCAGCTCCACAGCTGCAGTCAGTCAAAAGAGGAAATAGCCTTGGCTTGTTCATAGCGTGTGTAGTTTCATCTATACATTTAGAAATGTTCCCCCGGACCTTTAAAAAGGTTCCTCTTTTCTCAAGTTTAAAAAAAAAGCAACAGTGGATTTAAAAACGAAAAAGGCTAAAAAAATCTTAACAGTTATGGCAATGTTGTAGTTTGTAATCCAAAGAAGGCCTTTGTACACGCACGTTGTTTTCAGTCTTTTCTTGTTGTCCCGTTGTGAGAGACTGGTCGGATCAGTCTGGGGGCAACAAGTCGTGAAGCCGGAACCTCTCTCGGACGTGCGGACGCACATCTTCGTTCTGAAGGATCACAGGGGAGAGGACCATGAAAGGAGAAGAATGAAGAACAACTTCGATTCACTGACATGGTCAAATATGACTGATGTAGATACCGATCAGTAGGACATCTTACCATCTCCACCAACTTCTCCAGGAAGGGCACCAGCTTCAGCAGCTCGTTGTCGTTCTTATCCATGAACCAGCTCTCTATGGGAATCCCATTGGACAGCTGACGGGATCAAGAGAAAGACATTTCCATTAGATTAAAGATCTATCGATTAGTGGTCAACTATTGAAGACAAAGTCAATGTTCTCGCCTTCCGGCTTCTTAAATGTGAATAGTTTCTCATTTCTTTATTCCTC